AAAAGACTTCACTAGAGATTGAGCCCCGTGCTGGACAGTAAAGAGAATACAAGTTTCCACTCAACAGAACCACAGGTTACTGTGGTCCAGATGTGCCAATGAGGTGCCATCCCTCCTGATGTTCCAATAACCGTCTCCTCGGTGCTGGAGAAATCCATGGCCTAATGTTTTTGGTCGTTTTGTGCTTGTTTGTCCGTTCTCCTGATCTGTGGCTTTATTTAATTGTCATATGCTTCGGAAGGTTCCTGACAGAGTGAAATGACCTGGAAGCAGAGTAAGTGGCCGCCATGATACGAGCTGTTTGAATTCTCTAATGCTAAGCTTCAAAGCTTCCTTACTAGCGCTAAAGGAGTCAGTTGATGTGATCCGGATGTCACATTGAGAGAGTAAGAGACAAAGTGGTCAGGGACACGACGTGGCGTTAGTGGGGTTGGAAGTAGAGCAGTTTCCAATGAAGATCTACTGTAGTCCAGGTTGCCGGCTTTGGGGAAGGACTGAGAGAGCAAAGGGAGAAAGTAAGAGCAGTAAGTCACATGGCTCCTCTATGGAAGTTAAAGTCACCCAGGAGGATGAGTGGAGGGCCGTTTTCTGGGAAGTTTGATAGCAGGACGTCTATTTCTTCCAGGAAATATCCCAGAGAACCTGGTGGACGGTAGAGAACAACAATGTTTAATTGCACCGCATGAGTGACTGTCACAGCGTGGACCTCAAAAGACATTAGGGTAAAGAATGGGAATGGGTGGAGAGAAAGACTCCATTTGGGGGATGTGAGGAAACCAGTACCCCCACCCCTACCTCTGCCTTTGGTTGTGTGGATGAAAGAGAAGAAAGAGCAGCAGGGGTTGACGTGTTGGCCGGTGTGTTCCAAGTCTCAGTGAGAACAAGGACGTCCAGCGATTGCTGATGGAAATGAAGTCTGTCTTTGGGAAGGCAACTGGCAGTTCCGGAGGCTCCCTGAGCGGTTCAGAGCGAGTGGGATGATGAGGGAAGGAAGTCGCGGCTTGCAGAGGCTGTAGTATCACAAAGCGTACATCGCGTTCCCACTCCACCCAACGACTCCTTTGTCTTCATCCTCGGAGTCGCACCAAAAGCTGTGGCAGCAGGACGCCGGTGATGACAAGCGGAGCATTTCAACGCTGATTGACTTTCGCAAGACAGCTTTGCTTTTTTTGAAAATGTGCCTCATTCGCGACCAGACGCGTCCGTGCATCGACTTTACATGGAATCTACTCGCACAAATAACTTCGCTTTTGGTGTCAATGCAGCATAATGAGTCAAAGCTGACGCTGAAGCTTCATGCACTCTTCACAACGGCCAGCAATAGAAACTCTAAATGAAGAACTTCTCAAAACTTATTATGAATTCTATCAGTGGCGGCTGGCCCACGGAGGCCCAAGGAGGCCCACAGAGCCCATAGAGGCCCACGGAGGCCCACAGAGCCCATAAAGGCCCACAGAGGCCCACAGGGCGTGGCCCCACCTTGAGCCACAAAAAAAGATGAAAAAAAGGTCAATATTTGTGTACTTGTGTTTTTGGAAGATGGGATATACCCACTAACATTTGTGATTTAAGACATCTGTGCAAAATGTATACTTTTCCTGCTGATGTATGTATTGTAATATATCATATTTATGATATTTCTATTGTATATTTATAATAGTCACAATATGGTAATTATATCATATACTCAATATTGTTCGATATATTTATAGTTATATATATATATATATATTAATGAATATACTGAATTAAATAAGAGGTCCTTATTATCTGTTGGAATAACTGTTAAATATTTAACTGCAAAGTAATAATGCGTGTTTGATGCATTTTTTTGCATTGAATCATACTGGGATGTTTACTGAAGCTGATCAGCTGGCCCTACCAAAAAGAAAAAATCCACCAGCTGCCACTGTATTCTATTTACTTCAAAAGCTAGAAGGTAAAATAGAGCTTAGTCGCCATACAATTGGAATCCAATCCAATCCAAATACAGAACTTTCAACTCTAAAATCCTACCGCATAGAATTCCATAAAGAATAAAGAGACCGTACTAACTAGCAATCTAGCACAAAAGCATATTGAAGAATATACTTTCTCCAGGTCTAAATCCAGTTAATGGTTGCATAAATATCATCCTCTTCAGGTCAGTATTTAGTAGATGTAGAGTGTAGGATATTAAAAAATAAACTGACGACCTGGTTCATAAATCCACTCAGCTAACTGATTATTAGGAACACCGTACTAATACTGTGTTTGACCCCCTTTCGCCTTCAGAACTGCCTTAATTCTACGTGGCATTGAGTCAACAAGGTGCTGAAAGCATTCTTTAGAAACGTTGGCCCATATTGATAGGACAGCATCTTGCAGTTGATGGAGATTTGTGGGATGCACATCCAGGGCACGAAGCTCCCGTTCCACCACATCCCAAAGATGCTCTACTGGGTTGAGATCTGGTGACTGTGGGGGCCACGTTAGTACAGTGGACTCATTGTCATGCTCAAGAAACCAATTAGAAATGATTGGAGCTTTGTGACACGGTGCATCATCCTGCAGGAAGCATCAGAGGATGGTACTTGGGCCATAAAGGGATGGACATGGTCAGAAACAATGCTCAGGTAGGCCGTGGCATTTAAACCATGCCCGATTGGCACTAAGGGGCATAAAGTGTGCCAAGAAAACATAACATTTCTCAACAGAAATCGAGGCTCATCAGACCAGGCAACATTTTTCCAACTGTCCAATTTTGGTGAGCTCTTGGTAAATTGTAGCCTCTTTTTCCTATTTGTAGTGGAGATGAGTGGTACCCAGTGGGGTCTTGTAGCCCATCCGCCTCACGGTTGTGCGTGTTGTGGCTTCACAAATGCTTTGCTGCACACCTCGGTGGTAACGAGTGGTTATTTCAGTCAAAGTTGCTCTTCTATCTTGAATCAGTCGCCCCATTCTCCTCTGACCTCTGACCTCTAGCATCAACAAGGCATTTCCGCCCACAGGACTGCCGCATACTGGATGTTTTTCCCTTTTCACACCATTCTTTGTAAACCCTAGAAATGCTTGTGTGTGAAAATCCCAGTAAGTGAGCAGATTGTGAAACACTCAGACCGTCTGGCACCAAGAACCACGCCACGCTCAAAATGGCTTAAATCACCTTTCTTTCCCATTCTGACATTCAGTTTGGAGTTCAGGAGATGGTCTTGACCAGGACCACACCCCTAAAAGCAACTGCCATGTGATTGGTTGATTAGATAATTGCATTAATGAGAAATTGAACAGGTGTTCCTAATAATCGTTTAGGTGAGTGTAGTGTACACTAGAATACAGACATGATTCTCAAACTGTGTAATCAATAAAGTAATGACAACAAAACCACTGTAATTCTGCAACTGTAATCAAATAACATCAGGGTACAGTTATGATCGTATTTGATGTAATGTGATCAACTGGAATGCATGCATGTGATACTTGAACAACAACTGATATTGACTGAGAGACATTTGAAATCCGAGTCACATTGAACTCATCCGGAGGACTCCCAGAGGTGTGGACACTGACTTTCACACCTTTAAGCATTGTTATAAATACCTGTAGGAACCATTGTTCTGGAGTTCACTGGTGGAGGCGACAGACGGGCACTATGGGGGGTCAAAGGACTGACCTGGGGCCTGTTGGTCGCTGAGACCAGCGGCTCCTCAGCTGAGATGTTCTTTTTACCACAACACCATGACTTTATTAAATACATTTGATTTAACCTTTAGATCAGCGATGACCTCTGTCCGTCCGGCGTTTCTTCATTTTGAACACAACAAGCGTCTGTGTGGATACGTCTCAACCAGGCTCCCACATCTGCACAATACATTCTTCATTCTTCCATGAACGACCGTTGAAGATGTGTTTGCTGGCTCTGGGATCAGCCGTGGTGTTAGCTCGTATTTCAGCCACAAATTCTCCATTGGATCAAAATGGGGGCTTTGACTTGGCCCCTCCAGAACATTCCCCCTGCCTTTGAACTGTTTCTGTGGAGCAGTTGCTTGATGCTTGGCTTGTTGTCTTGCTGGAAAAATAAATGTTCTCCCAAATTGTACATTACTTGCACACTGTGTCAGATTATCTTCCAGGGTTTGGTGATATCGTTCTGCTTTCATATTCCCTTCCACCTCGACAAGCCTCCAGGGCCGGCTGCTGAGAAGCACCCCCAGAACATCCTGCCACTGCCACGCTTCCCCGGATGGTGTCCAGTACAGTTACTCTACGGTCAAAGTGCATCTGCTTGCAGCTCCCGTTTATCTTCGTCTGTCATTAGGATTCCAAGAAAACCGTGGGTTCCGATTTCTCTGAACAATTTGGCATGGTTCGGCCTCTCAACTGAAAGCCTCCAAACCCTGCAGAACCTCAAGCCAGAGAGAACGTGTTTTGTCTCACCGAGTGAATGGACCCCCCCCTTTCACGATGAAGTCATAGCTTGTTTTGGAGCAGATGGTGTTTATTCAGTATCTTACTGGATACAGTTCCACTACGGTCAAAGTGGGCATTCCTTCAACATCTGCTTCCACTTCCTATGGACCTCCCTGATGTGTATTAAAGCTTCTCTGTACTGTTTCTGTTTTAGCTGAATTGTGCAATGACTCCTGTATGTACTTATGGTTCATGTTTGATGTTAGTCTGTAAAAAATACTAATACACAAACGCGCTTAGGATATATTTTGATTTTTCACAAAGACATTATACACTAATTTATACCACAAGCCACTGGGTGAATGTGTGCAAAAGCATATTTTACACTATATATTTTCAGTTTGCAGGTACTTTTTTTCACTTCGCTGTACTTCGTTATGTCAACCTATAGTTTCATGTGTAAAAGCTACAAAAGAAGAAAGCGTTGACAGGGTGGTGAGTGTAACAAACAACGCGTTCCAGTAACCGGTTCCAGTGCATAAACCCGTGACCAACATTACCCAGTTTCTTCTCCCTGCCTCCTTATCCCCCCCCCCCTCCTCCTGTGTGCATCACCATATAAACCCTCACTACAGTCCTCTGCACACAACCCTCCCCTGCGCCATCGTGCAACACTTGTTGTGAATTTCTTGCACATTTTCCCAGTCTGCCCTCACACAAAGGTTTACATTCACATCCCAGCTGACGTAACTGAGGTAAGGGAACCTTTTCTTTATTTTCTATATATATGTATAAATGTATTTAATGTGCAAGCATATTATTGTGCGCTCTACGTGCTCTAGGTGAGACGATAATCATGTATGAAGGATCTGTGTGGTTTGCAGAGTGGTGGAAACATGAGGGACTGCGTGGCTTTGCTCTTCTGTGTGGCAGCTGTGACAGCATGGAGAGTCTCTGCAGGTAAGACACACACACACACACACACACACACACACACACACAAGTTGCAACCATTCTTCTGTCTAAACGTGGGCTTACGGCTGTTGGCAGAGTTGAGCTTGTTACATCACAGTTTATTATCTCTCAGAATCCCTTTGGACAGTCGGCACATCCCAATAAACAAATGGCCGAGTCGTCTTTGCAGAGGGCGAGATTATCATGTGCACTTACTTACGTTTTAAATGATGTTTGAACCAAATGTTCCAGTTGCTCAACCTAAACAATAGTTTATAAACTACAGCCACTATTTTTAGATGTTGTAGCAGCTTATTAACTATTACGTGATTATAAAATAAGGTATATTATCATATTACGGTAGCCGCTTTACAGAGTTGTTGTACTGCTTTAAAAAGTATATTTCTGAAAGGAAGAAAGCTTCTGGGATGTTGTTCCTTTTTATTTCATTTTATTTTTTATTCACACAAGCGAATCTGACCTGTTTTTCCAAAATATAAAATGCTTTGTTTCCAACAATTCTATTTTTCATTTACACTCCGGCTTGTTTTGGGTCCCACTCTGGTTTTGCCGGATGTAAAGCGTGTTCATGTATGTTTTATCCAATTAATACTCGACCCTGTCAGGCAGCTCACATTGTGGACCTTCTTTGTGCTGCAGGAAGGTTTTTGTGTTCAGTCAAAGAACGCCTCTCTTCTGCACAGCCCCACTAAAGCGTTTGTAGGGTGGAAGCCCAGCGGGTCCTGGCTGACCTCAGAGACCGGGTCCTGCTCCCAAATGAGTCCTCACATTTGGCTCTGGGCCCGGCTGGTCCACTATCAAAGCATGGAGGGTCACTGCGGCGTCCCCGGTTCTCACCAGTGGAGGGGCTACCGGCTCGCTGAGGTCCAGAAAGCACTGTGATGAATCAATTAACCCAGTCAGTGGGGGGGGGGGGGGCTCATGAACTGACAGGCATCTCCGTAGATCGTCGCTCCTGCTGTCTTCTCAAGAGGAGGCTGATGGAGTGTCACCGTCTTTATACGACCCAACCGGGTCTGCTTTTGTGATCGCATGTATTTATGAGGAACTTGCACCCCTGGCTCCTCCGCCAACCCCCCCACCCCGCTCCTTTCTGTGAAAAAGCCCGGCCGGGCATGTTAGGGCCTGCTGGACGCGCTGTGAAGGTCTCATGGGTAATGTGAGGGGATTGGTAGGGGTTGGATTACAGGGGGAGGGGGGAACGGGGGGGAAGCTCAGTCACATGGAAGGGGACTCTAGGCAACAATGGGCTTCAGGTGGGAAATGTGTGGTACGTTACGCAACTGGCTGTGTGCTGCCATCCAAGCTCTGACCTGCCCTTCAGGAATCCAGAGAATTAATTGAATTGGCCCCCCCCCCCCCCCCCTTTGTATTCATTCTAGATGCCAAGGAGTTATCCATCACCACCATAAAGGTATTTTCTCTGTCGACACCAGAACAACGAGAGGCTCCACCCACTTTTAATATTCCTAATAGAACTACTGAGGAGTACTTCTATTAGGAATATTAAAAGTGATTTGCTGACATCATACAGAAGTGGCTGAATATCTCATTCTTAAAAAATGACATTTGTAAAATTTAAGAAACTATCGTATGATTTGAATTGAAAACGAATATAAATATATTTTACATTCGTTTCAAGAAAATCCCATTTGATAAACAGGATTTCTTTTCATGCTGAAAACCTTCTGAAAACTGATAATAAATATTGAGTACAGTAAGAAAGCGTCAACCATATTTTGATTTTTTTATTTACAATTCTTTCCCAATTTGATATTTACTAAAGGAAATGTTGTTATGTAAAAAATGGACGGATGTTTCAACAAGAAAATTGTCCCCAACGTTATTGACATTCCGATAACCGTAATATAACTGTAATAACCGATAATATTTTTAAGTATTTAGAATTGCTCATATTTAAGCTTTGCAGCTGAAACTAGTAATTTCTCATTTTATAATTATGTGAACTGGACACCAATGACAGAATGACTCCACCAACAACAATGGCTTAAATATAAAAACTGCATGTTTTATCCCAGATTCAGTTATTGGATCCTCTTTAAAGAAAAGAAAAGGTGCCCCCCCGTAACAGCGTCCCTCTGCGCCCCCCAGGAGGAGCCGTACGCCATGAGCCGCGGCTCCGAGCTGGAGGGCTTCTGCATTGATCTGATCTCTGAGCTCTCCAGGGAGCTGGGCTTTGAGTACAAAGTGAGCCTGGTGAAGGACAACCGCTACGGAGTCAAGGACCCCAGCGGCACCTGGAACGGCATGATGGGCGAAGTCATCAGACGGGTAAAAGTGGCGCCGATACAAGTACTATAGATATGTGAGATCCTTTTGGGGAGTTTCCCATGGGAGGGTTTGGAGATAGACGATGTAAAGACAGTAAAGCCCTCTGAGGCTAATTTGTGATTTGGGGCTGTACGAAATAAAATGAATTGAATTGAATCCGGCCCCATTTAAACATTTAGAGATCAGACGCGTTGAAATATAAATCAAAGTATAAGGACGTTCTATCAGTTGGTCTGCGTATGGGACCATGTGGGATTCTGGCCAAATGGGCAGAATGTTCGATCAAGTTTACATCCACAGAATGAAATATTATTTATAGAGAAAACACCCTGACATTGATAGTCACATTAATATATGATGTGCAATGTATAAACCGGGGCTGTGAGCTGTTACAAAAGGAATAATCTAACATCTGAACAATGAGGTGAAGTTTGAAGTTCTATTATTTTGGTATTTATAGTGTTTAGAGGTGGGTCCTACAGTCTCATGACAAACATTAGTCGTGACATTTGGACCTATTGTCCAAGTGAATGAGTCTTTATATTCTGATGTGGGTTTCTGGCCCTGCACCAGGAGGCGGACCTGGCGGTGGCTCCGCTGACCCTCACTGCGGTTAGAGAGATGGCCGTGGACATGAGCACCCCCTTCATGTACACGGGACTCGGCTTCATCCTGCGCAGAGACCTGTCCTCTGAAGAGAGCAGCTTCAGTCTGCTGTCCCCCTTCTCCACCGACATGTGGGCCGGTCTCCTCATCGCCTTCCTGCTGACGGGTCTGTGCATGTTCCTGGTGGGCAGGTAAACGTTCTCCAGGCAGGTTTGCTACAGTGCACGATAGAGACGAGGCTGAGTACCAAAGCCTCAGTAACGGAAGGAGTTTACATTTCTACAGTTATAGACTATGATACCATATTAGTTCAACAAAATGATTGATATCATACAACACGTTGACTTGTTAGAGAGGCTCCTAATTTATTAAATGATAATGGAAGGCATTTTTTGTATTTTGCAATAAACATGTTGACTGGAAGGTCCAGGGATTGAACCTGCGAACCTGTGCTTGGTGCAGAGCACTCTACCCCGTTACGAAGTGTCAATCATCCCGTCAGTTACCCCGCAGACACTGCAGCTCTAAATCAGACCCACCCGTCTCGTTGCATGTGCTGCTGTAAAATGGCTGCGTCTGAGGCCAGGTTTGTTTTCTTGCAGGATCAGTCCTGCAGAGTGGGCCGGGCCGGACACGGAGGAGCAGAACTTCACATTGCTGCACAGCTTCTGGTACATCACAGGAGCTCTCGCCCTGCAAGGTAACGCCCCGGCCTGCAGAGGCATACACTGATACCGAGAGTTCCGACGCTCCCTCACGCTGCTGCCCTTTTTTTTAAGTGTGGAGCTTCTACAGGAGCTTCTACAGGAGCAGGTTAAATCCTGTCATTGGAATAAGTCCACTTTAAGTCTTTCTCTTTCACAGGTGCTGGTCCACACCCAAAAGGCCTTTCTGGACGTCTAGTCAGCGCCATCTGGTGGTTGTTTGCTATACTGCTTTTGGCCTGCTACTTTGGCAACTTCAACTCCATGTTGCATTCCAACAACAAACACGTCTCCATCAAGACCTTTGAGGAACTTGCAAACCAGGACCTGATGGACTATGGCACTGTCGAGGGTGGATCCACCACAGCTTTTTTTAAGGCATATTCCTATGAGTTTATAATCATTACAGCAGATTCTAGAACATCTGACATATCGTGTAACTTCAGCTCAACTCAATTCATTTGATGTTCTATATCCCCAAATCAAAAACTACTAAGTTTGTCTCAGAGGGTTTACAGTCTGCACGTCTGACATCCTCTGTCCCGAAACCCTCACATTGGAAGAGGAAAAACTCCCCAAAACAATAAAGCTCTTCAATAGGAAGAAAAAAAGACTAAAAAACATTAGTGAGGACAGCAGAGGATGGATGCGTCTCCCGGGACGGACAGAATGCAACAGATGTCATCTGTATGGAATGAACAACGTAGAATATGTAGAATACATTCAATGCATAATATGCAAATGATTAAAATATTGAGCGTAGTAAGCCAGGTGTAAGTGAGGACCACTGCAGGGACAATCACAAACATGTGTAACCACCATCCACAGAAACCTGTGGGGAGGGAAAGCAGCAAAGTCAGCAACCTTGGTTCATGATGACAGTCATAGTAATGTGACTAACTATAATAATGATAGCAGCAGTTTTCAGCAGGGTCATGGCAGAAGGTTGGACCAGGGATCAGATGTGAGACGAGAAAGAATTGACAAAGCTGAATAGTGATGTGCATTCTTATGGAAGGAGAGAGAAAGCAGAGCAGGTCCTAAGACGTCGCCCGGCAGTCTAGGCCTGTAACTAAGGGCTGGTCCACGCTAACTTGAGCCAGCCCTAACTATGAGCCATATCAAAGAGGAAAGTCTTAACCTTTATCTGAAAAGAGGTGACTGAAAGTGGAACCTGGTTCCACAAAAGAGGAGCTTGATAACTGAAGGCTCTGGCCCCCAGCCTACTTTTTAAAACCATAGGAACAACAAGTAACCCAGCATCTATGGAGCGCAGTTGCCTTGTAGGGCAATAAGGTGTTACAAGCTCTTTAAGATACGACGGTGCCTCACCAGCAAGGGCCTTGTAGGTGAGGAGAAGTACCTTAAAATCTATTCTTGATTTAACAGGGAGCCAGTGCAGAGGAGTTAATACAGGAGTGATATGATCCCTTTTCTTAGTTCTTTTTAATACACGTGCTGCAGCATTCTGAATCAACTGGAGAGGCTTAAGAGATTTACAAGAGCAGCCTGATAACAAAGAATTACAGTAGTCCAGTCTGGAAGTGACAAACGCATGAACTAATTTTGATGCATTACTTTGAGAAAGTTCTAGATTTTTGATATGTTACGTAGATGAAAAAAGTCCTTGATGTTTGTTTCATCAACAGTTGCAATTTGCCCCCCAGAATTCCAGAAACCCCGTGTACCGGCGCATCTACGAGCACATGGAGCGCAAGAAGAGCTTCGTGTCCAGCATGGAGGAGGGCCTCCGCCTCGCCCAGGAGGGCAACTTTGCCTTCATTGGCGAAGCCGTGTCCTTGGACTTGGCGGTGGCTCGCCACTGCCAACTGAGCCGCTCAGACGAGACCATCACCATGAGAGCCTACACCATCGCAGCACCTCTGGGTGAGTGATCCGGCTCACGGAGGCGGGGGGGGGGGGCATGTCCCCAGAGAAAATCACGCCCCTGTCTAGCTTTTAATATCCCTCTGATAATTATTCAAGTACTTCAGATCTGAGTGGTTTCTAGTGGTCCTCAATCCCTACCAGCTCACTAGCGAGGCAGAGCGAGGAGGGGACATGAGGAGGCAGTGATGGAGGGTGGACATTTTGTCTTTAAACACATGTGAGACAAAATGTCTCATGTTTTCTCATGTTTTCACAAACTTTGAAACTAGCAGACTCCCGCACAATTTGGGCCAACAGAAAGTCGGACACACAGCAGCAGCACATTATCTTCATGGTCATTTTTAACTGGCTTTATTATGGTAGCGTGGGTAGTATGTATATGGCACATGATTCAAATCTAAATGTGGTTCTGTTAACAGTATAATCTGCTATTTTGGAATGTTTTAGAGTAAAAAATGGATCCAATGGCATCTACGAGAAGAAGTGTACAGTACAGTGTTTGCTCATAGCAGCGTGTTAAGGCTCATTAAGATGTTCCTTTATTCGTCATTCAATCATAGTTTGGTATTGAGACGTTAATCAGCCTGTCTTTCCTCCATCAGGCTCCCCGCTGCTCAAAAACCTGACCATCGCCATCCTGAAGCTCAGTGAGTCTGGCGAGCTGACGCATCTGCGACAGAAGTGGTGGTCAAGCAGCTGCGCCGCCGGCAGCAGGGCCAACACCTCCGAGGCCCTACGGCCTCACGACCTGCGGGGCCTCTTCCTGCTGCTGGGCCTGGGTCTTGGCGTCGGGCTCCTGCTGGCCTTGCTGGAGCTCCTATCCGGAGCTCGCAACCAAGCAAAGGATGGCAAGGTGGGGGAGAGTTTCATAGGGTGTGACCACCAACCTGAGGTTTCTGACGCTTACTGAAATATGTCAGCACCCTTTGGAGGTATTCTGATGTATCATGGTACTGTAGGTCCCCAGACGATCGGCCCTTCTTGACCATATGACCATATACATGCAAAACTAACGGCAGTCTTCCGCTGCAATACTTGTTTAGCGCTTAGCAAATGTTGGGAGGGTGTAGTGAACATTACACCTGCTAAATGTTACTTTTGTCATTGAGGCCAGTTGTCTTGTGTGCACATGCAGCCCCATAGAGCTGTAAGCATGGCTAATTTATTACTCTTTACCGCTTCCTTCACAGAAATCGTGCTGCTCGGTGTTGACATCAGAACTAAACCAGCGCTTTGGAAGCAAGGGGGGAAGTGCAGAAGGAGACGACTCAGGCAAAAGCAAAGCCTGAAGGAAACGTCCACATGTTGGCTTTGGATGGATAGTTTGAGCTGAGTAGCGTGTTCCATCAAACCCAGTAACTTTCTTTGTTTCCATAGTAACGGCATTTGTTGAGTGGTCCTGTCCGTGTTTTGTACTCCTCTAAAGGAAAAGCTTGTTGACCACATGGGTAACAATAACTAGCAGCTATTTTAGTGTGTTAAAACAAACTAGCTAATCACTGATTTGTTTTTGATGCCAGTGGTGGATATTAAATATCCACCAGCATCCCTTACTTACTTCTTTCCAACTATGATGGATTTATACAGTTTATATTTGCTTGGAAGTTCTAAATAAATCCGACAATGTCCAGAATCGTCTTTTTTGGCAGCTGCGGTACAACTTTACTGTTAATGTTGGAAGTTTAACTTCACTTTAGGAGAGCAAAACATTATCAAGACTTTAGAATTAGAAGCAAACTTAAGCAAAGCACATGTTTAAAGCTGCACTTTGCAATCCGTGTGTGTTCACATACTGGTTGGTAAAGAGAGCGATTTAACCCTGTCATCATTCAGCCGTTCATGCACTGTTCTCTGGAGCCATCGGGATGATCGAAGTCATACCAATTCATTCACAGCCGACCCAGAACAGAGCAGAGGATCCAACCGCCGATGATCTGATGGAAGGACACATCCGTTGTGTCCGTTGCGGCCCAGCATTTCCCATAATGCATTGCGGGCCGATGAGGATGAAGATATCGATATACCAATAAATATTTCCTACTTGAATATTTTGTTAATCAAGATACAACGTGTGATTCAAGGGTGTTTGCAGTTTGTGACCTGCACATATTGAGTGGAAACAGACTGGAGGGGTCGGTGTTATCCGGAGAGGGGGTGTAGCAGCTTATACACAACAAAAACTATCCAAAAGCCGCAGCAGGCTAAGACATGAGGAGATTATACTCAAGACGCGTCACACTGAAGTATTTTATCATCATGTTTATTACGTTTCACCAGCAGAAAGAATACACGCCAATCACTTACTTGATAGATGCCTTTCATCAGTCAAGAGAGGATCAACAGCGCATAAAACATCGTAGTGACTCCGGTGACGATGACGGCGACGGTCAATAGAAAGTTTGTTCCCCATGCTCACCCTGCAGCTCCAAACAACCCGCCGAGCCCCACAGGTGACCAGACACACGCTAATATACACACCACACCCCCTTACGGTGCCGTAGATACAAATGACGTCACACCACACGCACACATACAAACAATGTGGAAGGAAAGAAGAAAATAATACCAAAGAATAATCAAACCCAATGGCTCCTACAGGGGGGTCGACTGGGAGAGACCGGGCCAGAGTCCAAACTGATCCGTTCTGTGTGTTAAATACCTCAAAACTAAATATTCACAGTGGTGAGGCGCCACAGCAACACTGGATTACGTTTGGAACCACAAAGCATTACTTCTAAGGAGTAAGAATGTCTTTACTCAGTTCATTCATTTCTGTTTCGTTTATGTCACCTACTGAACCACCAACAGTTTCAGAGCGATTTATCACAAATATTATATATTATTATTATGTTGGCCTGAGCCAACTAAAAGTATCGTATCGTATTTCCAAAGTTTATTATCCAGCACCTTTGATGCCTTTCCCATATTCAGAAACTTGGCATGCGCATCAGAACTGCAAAAGATTTACACATCTTGGGGGTTTGCGCCGTTTGTGTATAAAGACATGGCTCTATAGCGCCCCCTTTGCTCTACAAAAAGTCAATCATTTTATGCAAATGTATCAAATTTTGGGAAAAACACTTGTTAACTCCTCCCAGGCGCTGGCGTCGATTATCACAAAATCTTTGCTCATTGGCCGCTCAATGCCTTTAAAGGTTGTTTGATGTCTCTTTGTGTTTAGAAGTTCTGGACCAATGGATTTGCAAGAGGTGTGGCCTAATAGGTAGACACATAACAGTAGGGGCCCTCTCCAGCATGTCTCAGCATGTTCACATCGACTCTCTGAACATTCCCCAATGTTTCTATGATATTTAAACAATAGTTTGCTGAAATGAGCTGTGCAGATTTATCCTCCATGTCAGGAAAGTAGGATTGGAAATATTGAAGCAAGTTGGTCAAATGTCCCACTGTGACCGAAATGACTGGACGTCCGTCCACATCGTCAGTGGAGAGAGAGCAGAGGTCAGTCTCTGTTCCACAGCTCTGCTCTCTTCAGGAAGGTTTGTACTTCACATGCTATTTTTCAAAAGAATTTTCCTTCAGTTCTTTGTATTCAGCTCCTGAAGACAGTGGTGTCTTAACTGTATGGATATGCTCTTAAATAATTTAAGGAAAACATCACTGGAAGGACTTTGGTCAAGTGATAAGATCTAGCGTCATTGATTGTAGTGATTGGCATCCCATCCTGAACAGGAGCTTCTTCGACCAAGTGGCCGACCCCCCCCCCCCCCCCCCCCCCCCACATGAAAGAGGAGGCGAAGGCCAGTCCATCGCTGCTCGCAGATTTTTGATTTGAGATTATTATTACTTTTCTGAAGTGGAACTTCCTGATGAACCTGTATGATTGTCCGACACTGACGCGATCCACGTATGAAGACGGTTTGACTCAAACAATGGCCCTGGATTCTCTGAGCCTTGGAGTCTCTGAGCCTTGGAGTCTCTGAGCCCTGGTCTCTGAGCCTTGGACTCGAAGGAGTACTCTAAGGAGTACTCTCTGAGCCCTGGTCTCTGAGCCTTGGACTCGAAGGAGTACTCTAAGGAGTACTCTCTGAGCCCTGGACTCTGAGCCTTGGACTCTCTGAGCCCTGGAGTATCTTAGTCTTGGACTCTCTGAGCCCTGGAGTCTCTGAGCCTTGGACTCTCTGAGCCCTGGGGTCTCTGAGCCCCCTCCTTGCACAGCTTGCATGTATCCGTCTGTCCACTTGGAGGCGCTGTTTGATTTCTATTGGCGGTTTGACTGGAGATTATTTGCTGGAGTGCAAACACTGTAGGGCCCGATCCCAGTGCTCCCACTGAACCCTCGGGGATTTTACTTACGTCACCCTGTTAATGGGTGAGGTGTGAGAGTTGTGGGGAAAATGGAGTTAATGATTGAATGGGGACGCATTTTGCTGTCACCATGCCAACGTCAAAAAAAAAGTATTTATTCCATACGTTCCCTCTGATTTAGACGTCTTTCTACGCTCTCTGAGATCTCGTATTTATTGTCACATTGCAATGGCTTGTGGGTAATTGTTTTTGGTCACTGAGCGGTGTGAGAATGGGGCAGTAAACTGTCAGAGTTGCTCCAAGGGGTCGGATATTTGCAACGAAGGTTGGATAACTTCAGTCAGTAGCTGGCACCAAGGATGGAGCAGTAAACGAGTAGAAAGGTGAGCGCTGGCAGGAAGCAGGGAACTGTTGACAACATTCCCGCACAAGCAGTGTGTCCTTAGAATATGTTGTTGTGTGCGAGTGGTCCGCGGCTGTGTGACACGAGCCGCACTTGAACCCGCCAATCAGCTTGGGGAGTCATTGATTTGGTGGCAGCAGGAGAATGTGAGTGACTGAAGGGAGGAAGGGGGGGTATCGATCTGGTGGCAGGCGGCCCCTGACAGCTGCGCTAAGCTAGCACGTAGCCCTTTCCTCCGCAGTCAGAAGCCTGGCCGACAGGGAAGTGGCTAAGAAGATTAAGCTGTAAATCCTGCAGATTTCCTGCCCCCCCCCCCCCCGCAGCAAGGTTACTCTCCCTCCACAAAATCAAAAAGGAAGGGTGCGCTCTCTATTGTGGGAGACACTTAATAGTCTGGTTTACGCCCCTTTCTGCCATAAAAGGAACACCGAATCATCTTTTGCATCCACTGGCGGGCAGAATATTTATCTTTGAACCTTTAAATATGAGCTGATACAAACTAACTGATCAACATTTCAGCCAGAGGATGCAGGAGTATCTAGTGGGAGGAGCATGCTAACCAAGCTAGCCGCCGGGCGGTCCTCTTTCCCTCCTGCATTACCACGGGTACCTCCTGGAGGCGCTAGTGAGTCACCGTAGCGTTTTGCCTTAGCCTTTTGTTCAATATTCTTAGAAATGACGCTTTACATTTAAACATATTTTATATATTATGGTAAAATGTAATATGTAGTCCAGGACATATTTTTCATAATAGGAGGTTTTTTTTTAGCTAAAATGAAGTTTGCCAACTTGTTTTTTCCTTGTAATCCTATAAAGAGAACTTGGAAAAGGGACTTTCTACTATAACATTTAGTGTTTATTTATTTAAAGTCCTCTTTGAATAAAAACAGGTAAAAATGAAACAGACTTTATTAATAAAGGAATAAAAAAGGAAAACAGTGTGCAGTAATCTCTCTCCTCTCAGCCCGTTCTCTACTTGTGCTGTAGCCCGAAGGCCTGTCGATGCATTGAGAATCACAAATTGTGATGGACGTGTTGCCACTTTGAACTGTGGGCTGGAGGAGCTTTGCGTCTGGCGCGCTCCTGGATGTGCCAGACAAAGTCTGTGCATTGATCCCTCTGAATGTGTTTGACTTTGACACTCTCTTTCTTTTTACTCCGTCTCCTCTCATCATTTTCTAGCTGGCTCATTCTTTTTATTCATCTTTCTGCTGCACTCGCTGATTTTAAAATGGGAGCACATCAAGATACACACACACGCACACACACACACACACACACACACACACACAGTGCTCACTTACACTACAGGTGACGTGCATGCTTGATCCCTTTTTCTGAAGCAAAGCTCTCATTTCATCATTCAGGGATGGTTCCTTCTGTTTCCACAATGGAAATAAGCCTCCCAGCTTCATTGTGCACCCTCTGAGTTTTAACATATTTAAATACTGCAGCACAGTCTTTGGTGTTTTTAGTAATCACTCAGTCTAGGACTTTAGAATAACAGATTTTTTAAATGGAAGAGAATCGTCACATCCGAACATCAGTCACAAGAGAGAAGTTACAAAACTGGCCCCAAAGGAGGCCGCCGGGGGGCTTCTTTTTGGACCCGATGTGAAACTGACCCATGGATAACTTCCCTCCACCAGGGGGCAACTCCCCCTGTCCCATAGACGTCTATGAGGAAATGAGTCTACTTCTTTCTTGATTTATTCCCTCAGTAAACATTGTAAACAGGAGTTTATGGTCTCAGTCTCGTTTCAAGTCTTCAGTCCAGCGTGATGTTCATTTATCAAACTATGTCCAAATTATGTCAATCCGTCAGAGTTTCCCCTCCACCACCCGAAGGCGTAGGGAGGCGACCTTTTTGTCCACCGGGGTAAACTCCAATGTAGCAGCACTCAGCCGGGGACTTATGAGTATCCCCACACCCGCCTGGCGCCTCACACCATGGGCCACTCCGGAGTAGAATAGAGTCCACCCCCTATCCAGGAGTGTGGTTCCAGAGCCGAGGCTGTGCGTAGAGGTAAGCCCCACCAGATCCAACTGGTACCGCTCCACCTCCCGCACAAGCTCCGGCTCCTTCCCCCCCAGAGAGGTTACGTTCCACGTCCCCAGAGCCAGCATCTGCCGCCCAGGTCTGTTCCATCTAGACCCCCCACTGTCACTGCCACCCTTAGCAGCACACCCGACCCCATCGGTGTCCCCCACAGGTGGTGAGCCCATGGGGAGTCGAGGTGATGGTTCCTCAGTTCATTAATGTTAATTCTAACATTTACCTCACCTAAAAATGTCTTATTCAGTTTTCTTTTGGACTGTGTTACTTCTCATGCAGGGCTAATCTTGTCAATCAGACTGGATTTGTCACAAAGGT